AGCGCTGGCAGAAGACAATGGCGGTGAGGCGGCGGCAGAGGCTCGGGCCGGGCGGCGGGCGAGCGCTGCTGGCCGCGGTGCTGCTGTGCCTGTGCTGCCGGGCGGCGGCGGAGCGGGTCCGCTACTCCATCCCCGAGGAGCTGGGCAGAGGCTCGCTCGTGGGGCCGCTGGCGCGGGATCTGGGGCTCAGCGCGGACGAACTGCCGGCGCGCAAGCTGCAGGTAACGTCTGCCGGTAAGAAGCAGCTGAAATACTTCACGGTGAACGAGGAAAACGGGAACCTGTACGTGAATGAGAGACTGGACCGGGAGGAGATGTGCGGCGAGTCGGCGTCCTGCTCTGTCAGCTTCGAGGCGCTGGTGCACAACCCACTGAACGTTTTCCACGTCGAGGTGTCCCTCGAGGACGTGAATGACAACTCCCCGTCCTTCAGCAAAGCTTCTCTGAACCTCGAGATCGGTGAATGGACGCTTCCTGGCGCTCGTTTTCCTCTGGAGATGGCCAGAGATGCAGACGTGGGAGGGAACTCGCTGCTGAATTACCAGCTCAGCAGTAACCCGTCCTTCAGTCTGGCCATGAAGGAGAATCCCGACGGAAGCAAGCAGCCGGAATTAGTGCTGGAGAAAGCGCTGGACCGGGAGAAGCAGAGCTCCGTTGAGCTGGTGCTGATGGCGGTGGATGGTGGGGATCCCGCGAGGTCCGGGACTGTCCAGGTTCTGGTGACCGTGATGGACTTAAACGACAATCCACCCGTGTTCGGCAAAACCGTCTACGAGGCACGAGTGGCGGAGAACCTGCCAGCGGGGTCGCTGGTGCTGAGGGTGCAGGCGACGGATGCGGACGCGGGATCCAACGGGAAGGTCTCCTACTCCTTTAGCAACGTTCCGGATGTACTCCGCGCTTTGTTCACTGTGGACAGCGAGAGTGGCGAGGTCAGGACGGCGGGTCCCCTCGATTTCGAGGAGAAGAATAAATATATCTTCAGCCTGGAGGCGATGGACGGCGGGGGTTTAGTATCACACTGCAAGGTGCAAATAGAAGTCACGGACGAGAATGACAACGCGCCCGAGATCACGATTCTGTCCCTCTCGAGTCCGGTGCCCGAGGACGCGCCAGTCGGCACCGTGGTGGCCGTGCTAAACGTGAAGGACCCGGATTCCGGCGAGAACGGTCAGGTGTCGTGCGAACTGTCGGGAGAGGCGCCGCTGTCGATCGTGGCGTCGTCGGGCGGCTCGTACAAGGTGGTGACGGCGAGCGCGCTGGACCGCGAGCAGGCGTCCGAGCACCGCGTGACGGTGGTGGCCCGGGACCGTGGGCGGCCGGCGCT